CAATATTTCATAATTTCTCAAATCTTATTTGACTCAGTAACATATCGTTTCGAGACAATATAGGTATAAAGATTCTTATTCTTGCCAATGAGGCATGTGTCCGAAATGTTCTTTGTGGGTTGTAAGTTTGTTTGTTGTAATCATTTATCAAAACCATTCCTCATTGAATTCAACACCCTATTTTGTTCTCTATAAAGAATACTGTTATACGTGTTTATACATGAGAAGACATCAGTATTCAATTGCGGTTGACGAATAGAAAAATAAATTTCATTTCGAATAATAAACATCGTTCATTGCATTCCATCCGCGCTGTGGTCTCGCTCTCGTTTATTCCATTACAAATAAATACAAAGAAATCATTCTTTTTATTTATTGAAGTAACGTCTGTATGTCATTCACCTACTTCTTGTCGTTATTGACTGATCGAATAAGTGCTTCTTTCATCGGTTGATTTGATATTTTCTAAAAAGAAACTTCAATAGCAGTATTCTGTTGTGGTTATTAAATGGGTTGTCATGATCAGCGAATGCGATCCTTCTAATAGTCTGGGTCACAAGATCCTTTTTTTGGAACTTCTGTCCAAGGGCACCGAAAATTATGATCCAGGGCTCATTCGATTCGGAATGACCTCTAGTAACTTTTTGAATAATTTCNCGTTTTTGATCTATGCTTACATGAGATTTAGGTATGTGAACTAGGTACGTGAACTATTTCTATATGATACGGAAAATTTCTCTGACACTGTAAAGTCAACAAGAAAGATCATATTTTCACCCGCAGTTTTTTAACAAGCTTATATTAGCTTCGCTAATTTTATTCATTAACATTCTTCTTCTCTTCACGAATTTTGCTTAGGTATTCGGATTTTGTTTGTTTTGTGAACAGTTTGTGTTTGTTAGTGAACTATTATAATTTTTTTTTTGAGTTTTCTCTTCATTATCTGAATTCTAACAAAATTTGGCGAAAACAACTTGGTTTCATTTTCTGGATCAGATTTGTTTGCTTTGTTATTAATTAATTGGGCCATCGAAAAGTGTGAATTTTCTACACATATTCAGTTGTTTTAGGGGTTGAAAAAAAGTTGGGCAAGCCTAGTAACGAGCCGCGAGGTAATTTTTATTTTTTGTATCAGAGGACCGAGTTGTCCTCAAAAACTGACTATGCGATGATTAGTAGTATGTCATTAATTTATAAAATTTTTCCGCTAGTCATTTTTGAGTCTTGTATCGATTGTAGAAAAGTAAACAGTTGACTCTTTGGGACTGTTTCTTTTGTTAATATTCACATTGTTTGTGTCATATTTTGCTATTTATAGACTCGTGAGAGAATCTGTAACTCTAGGGTTGTGTACTAGTCAACAAATTTTAATCAACTTTTTAAATTTTATGGTCGCCCTTCAATGTGTTCCTAACACTATATTTTTCGTGTTTGTGATTTCGAATGAGACGGGTTTTAATCGAAATCAGTTTCATTAGCTAATTGCTAAAACACTTGATGCCACCAAATAAAAAAAATGCTGCTTGTACGATTTTGAAATCCGGTTTTTCAAATAAGAAAAGGGATTTTTTTAATATTCTTGCTTTATGTAAAGTAAAATCTAGTTAGGAAATCAAAGATCAGAATTTCACCAAATTTGATTTTTTAAGGTCTGCAGTATAGACGATCTGGAAGACGGCAAAGAATATGTGGTCTGCGGCAAGGGAGAGGTGTTTAAAAGGACTGAATATTCCAAAACGGATACGTTGAGGCCCAAAAGACTGTCAAATTCGAAATTTACTGTCCAAAATATAAATGTACCCAAAATTATATCGCCAGACTGTGTTCGACCTCGAATCGTTACTATTATTAGAAATGGAATTAAACCAAGAAAGGTAAGGCCAACCCAAATATCGATTGTTTAATTTCTGAATTGAGGTATAGACGACAAATTGCCATAGAGATGTTTTGAATAAACACTGAATGAAATAACACAGATGCTCTTTATCTTTATTGTTTCCTTGAAAACAGGACGTTGGCACATAATGTGTGTTTTCAATGTCTCCAGCGAATGAGAAAATCAATAAAAAAATGGAAAATATAATTTACTTGTAGGTATGCTGCAGATTTGTTAGTCTGTAAAATCACTATATTCAATAGCTAATAATCTATTTTAAGTTGATAGAACTAGATTCGAATCGTAGTTGACACAACTGAAAACCAATAAAACTTGGTTCGATTCAGACTCACAAAGTTAGAAATCAACAACACTCATAATTTGCATTAGAATTTGCATATTACAATAGTAAATATTTTTTGGTACTCTAGTGTGCATAATATAGAGTGAAAAAACAGTATTACTGTTCATGGAAATTCTTGTGGCAAATATTAAATTGGGATCGGTAATGGAATTCATGAAACTTTAAAATCAGTAAGTCGTGAATGAGTATCCTTAAAAAAAAATTCAAGTTTTGAAAAATTTGTGTTCTAATGTTCCAGAACCAAAGGGTTTACTAACTGAACTTCGATCTCTTGTCCTTTGATTTTTGTTTATGGCCTTTGATGTTTCTTGAGCTCCTTTACAATCAACGCTGGTATTCCTCAGGGATCCATTTCATATCTAACTTTATTACTATTTTATATCAACTACCCTTTAGAAAAGTCCAATTTAGATGTTCAAACATCAGCTGTCACTTTCTTCACAGCTGAAAGTTTTAACGCGGAGTTGAAAGATATTTTTGCATAATAACCAAAAAGAATACAATGATAAGAAAATCAAGGCTTCATATTTCTAGTAGTAACGTGAATATCTCAGAATCCGACATAAAGTGAATCTGTTTAAAAATGGATATTTAATATCCCACAAACAACCCAAATATTTTTCAAATAAAATTTATGATCCAAGCTATGTTAAAGTGGAGAAACCAGTCTCTATTGAAGAAATGAGCATAGCAAAAGTCCTATTGAATTACAAACAAATTCAAGTTGTAATGTTAAATCGTGAGCATTGACCATCGAAATATTTCTTTCAACAAACCAGTCGGTTTTCAAGAGCTTTTCGAGAAAAACGCTTTTCTACGCACCACGGCTGCGACATTTTTCTGCATATGTTTCACAATCACAAACATCATGAGGAAACGATCAGTTTACATTATGATAATAATAATAATACGTCGTTATTATTTTCCACATACAGTACATCTACAATAAAAAATGTTTTTAAAGAAAGGTGGAAAATAAAGAGCGAAGTTCATTTTCTCCACTGAAGCAATCACCTACTTCATCAGGAATATCTTCTTGTGACGCCAACTTGATTGGTGAAGAATGCCTCAAGAAAAATGTTACAGTTCTGCTATTGTTACAGTTTTGCTGCTGAATTCTGTTTTTGTTGGATTAATTCTATACAGTGGATCTAATTATACTTTCCAGTAAGAGCGTATATGAACCAAAAACAGGAAGAACCAATTGATAAAAGCATTTTATTTAAAATTTATTGTAGGACGATGTGATACTAGAAAGTATTAAATATACAAACAAGTCAAATTAGAAGATTGAAATGTGCCAAATAAATAAATAAATATCAATGCGCAGAAAACCGCCAATTACAAACAAAGGCGTTTTTTACAATTTTCAAATTTAAAGTTATGAGCACAAGGTGTTTATTTCTTTAATTGCAAAAAACCATAAAATGTAACATTTTTTTGTATATAATCTGTTGGCTGCACAATAACTTTTGTAGTTTTTTGATTTTTTATCACATAATTGTAGCCCTTAAGAATATTCAATTCATATCAGAATCGATCAAAAACAGTAGTTCATGAAATAATCGTCCTCATTGAAATTTTGACTACAAGTGCAATAAAATATACTTAAGTCTGTGTGGAATCAACAAAAAAAAATATATTAAATCANATAATCGTCCTCATTGAAATTTTGACTACAAGTGCAATAAAATATACTTAAGTCTGTGTGGAATCAACAAAAAAAATATATTAAATCATTTATCAAGTGTTTGTAATTATTCAAAGTACCACCCCAAACACTATGTACTTCAAATAACCTTTACAATGATCTCACTTCCACTGCTAATGTCACTTATCTAGTTTCCAAACTGAAATGTTTGCATTCTTATCCTGAGAAACTATTACTCGTCCCTTACAATGTGCTTTGATGTGCCTATCAGGTAATTTTTGACATGACATGAACGTACTTAGAAGCAATCTACTGTGAGATTTCCATACAACCGTTTACAAAACCACATCAACGCGTGTTTCACTATTCGATAGCCTTTTCAGGCATGGCCAAGACCTTCGCAGATTCTTGTCCGATTCACCGAGGTGTTTGCCTTCTTAGATATTTTGATTAGGTTTCAAACCAAATCACTATCATCATCAGCACCAAACAGTTTTTGTTTCAAAAGTAATGAATGATGCACTAGCAAGGTGAGCTGAGAATCAATACAAATCACTTTTAATTTGGAACAGTCAGCTCTTAAAGATTGTCTTGATAAATATCAAGCTTATTCAAGAGGTTGAGATTTTGTTCGACTCAGAGTTAGAGTTCGACAAAGCATTTGAGATGATAAACAATGGATGTATTAGTAGAGATTGTTTGTTAGCTGCAAAAACTTGCAGGTGCAGGTGCAATTACAAAAATACATAATATTCAGCTAGAATAATGTAACTCTCAAGATAACGTTTTAGTTGACTACTCTTATCTAGTAAACATTTGCATAAATATATTAGGTTATTGTGAAGTTTGGTTTACCAAGGAAGCGGAATCAGGACTTCAATAATCTGACTTAGCAATATTACTCATAAGACGTCAGTTCTATGCTTTTAGTTATTTTTGGCAAGAGGAAATGGGCCTTTAAAATAATGAGTTCGACATCTTTTTCCCAGTATATTCTGGACCATTATCAATAATTTTCATTCAGAACTGGTTATCGTATTGTCGTTAGAGAGAGATTTTTTTTCAACCTATATGAACTCAAATGAGTGTAAAGTACAATCTTCCAAATGCCACAAAAATATGTATATAGTTGATTTTGTCAGTTGATAGATATCTAGTACTCTATTATTGATTTGAAAATCGTGTACCATCCCTTATTTATTGAAATTCAACATTCAAAGAGGGCATTCACATATTATTGTTATCTGTAAATGAAAATCAAACTGTTTTAGTGCTGTATTATTGATTTGAAAATCGTTTACCACCCCTTATTTATATTGAAATTCAACATTCAAAGAGGGCATTCACATATTGTTGTTATCTGTAAATGAAAATCAAACTGTTTTAGTGCTGTATTATTGATTTGAAAATCGTTTACCACCCCTTATTTATATTGAAATTCAATATTCAAAGAGGGCATTCACATATTGTTGTTATCTATAAATGAAAATCAAACTGTTTTAGTGCAAAATACACATCTACAGTGTTATCAAGTAATAATTATGACAAGAAATTGTTACTTTTAACAGAATTTCATAACATTCAAGTTGATAGTGAGTAAAAACTTGTTTTATGGTGTGCAGGTCCTTGTATTCAACCTCTTAAGTAATTGCATTGTTATCTTAGTTCGTCTGTTAGAATAATTTTTGCAACTGTTGTCCAATTTTCTATAATGGTTTATCACCTCCTCATTTCATACCATTTTTAATAAAACACATTTGTTTTTTTTTGCCAAAGTTGAATATAATAAAGTATAATATAATTTATATTTTCAGACGCTGAGATTACTTCTCAATAAAAGAAATTCATCCAACATGGAACAGGTGTTAAGTGCATTTTCGGAAGTTGCTCAATTGGCAGTGAGAAAAGTTTTTTCGCTATCTGGCCAATCAATAACTGATCTACCTCAGTTTTTTGCTACGGATGACGTTTTTTTCGTCTACGGTAATGAAAAAGCATCTCAGGGCGATTTTGAATTAGAATTCGAAGAAAGTAAAGCAATACAATCTTATAAAAAAACGCCTGGCCTCAGAAATGGGTAAGGTTTTAGTCGTTTGAGTTAATCACACTTTTAAATATTGAGAAGGTATGTAGAAGTATAGCAAATACTGTCGGTTCAGAGCTTTTATTTCAGTTCAGTTAATGAAACCGCTGTTCGAGACTTCCACCTTTTGATTTTGTCTTGAAATGAAATAATTTGTCATAGTTTTCAAATAATAGAATATTTCATATGGTGGCATTATATAAAATCTGAAATTGGTTCCTGGTTATTTTTCATAAAATATACGAGTTCAATATAATATATTGGGTTATCGAAAACTAACAATTCCTTTTGTCTTTGTATTAACATCCTATGTAGCAAATAGAAACATTTGTTACAGGCGAATATTTAAGCTGTGGAAGTATTGAAAATCAGGTCTGTTTCTATCAGCTCCATTTGGAAGATCTAGTATTTTCTATATAAACTAAATCCAAACTCTTGTCAGTAACAATTTTTTTTCAAATTAAACTCTATATTATATTCCAAGTCCAGCCAGCATGGCCTTATATCGTATTCTGATCAGAATGATAGATGATTTTTTATTATATCCAATCACTATCAAATTGAATTCGTGATTCAAATTAAACTCTATATTATATTCCAAGTCCAGCCAGCATGGCCTTTTATCATATTCTGATCAGGATGATAGATGATTTTTTATTATATTTAATCACTATCATTGTATTCTACTCCTGGGAATGCATTTTTTGAATTACAGATATTCATTGTACTCACTACCTCAGTCCATCTTTTATTCTTTTCAACTTCCCTTCTCCAAATACTAAATTTTCATTGGTTATGCATTCCTATATCAGTGATCCTAACGTCTTATCTTTATCTGTCTGTCTGTTCTGCGGCCAAAAAATGTAATGAAACTTACTGCGAAAAGGCAATAGTACTGACCTACATGTGGTTCCAAAAACATTTCTAAATAAAGAAAATCAATTTTATAAGGTTAGTGAAGAACTATGTCTCTTAGACAGAATAAAATTACAAATACAATGAGTTATCCATTTTATTATAGGTATTTTCACTCAATACTTGATTTAGCAAATTATTTCAAAATGATGCAACAAGTGTTTATGCCGACTGTAATTTGAGCTTATATGAATTGGAAGCGCATGAGAGTTGCGTCTCATGAAGAGCGAGCGATAACAAGTCTTGATAATGTCATCTGAGATGATGGAGAAACATCTACCTTTGAAGAATACACAACAGATGGAACACCCAGAAGAGCAACTCCTCTTATCCCACCATCCGTGAAAACCTACAATAAAATAATGGACAACTCATTGTATTTGTAACTGTATTCTGTCTACTGTCTAATACATAGTTCTTCACTAACCTTTCCATCAATAATTTCTGGATATTCCATAGATATATTTTCTTCATCTAGAAGTATTTTTTGAACCATATGTAGGTGAGTAACTTTTTAACAAAACAATATATCAAGTTCAGACAAAATTTACGTAAAAAGTATAATTTTTGCCTGTCATCACCCGAAGATGATTGTGGGTACTAACAATTAAAACTTCGTGAAGTAACTTGGCCTGAAATCTTTTGATTTTTAATTTTCATTTCATTTCGGTTTTTCCTTTTTCCATTTTTTAATTGTTTTTTATTCTATTGTAATTTATTTTCAGGGTTTTCGCTTTTTTTCGCTTAATATAATTGTTATTTTCATTTCAATTTCATTTTTATTTGTGGTTAGAAGAAGAGATGATTGCAACGAAATCATCCCAGAAAAATTTCATAATGTAGGAAGTGAGAGTTTACTGTTCCTCTACTCTTATTGATATTTCCCTATTTGTTTGGATGTCTGCTGCAATCTCGACATGTGATCTTATAAATATATGCCTTGATTTTCTAGGTTGACTTTTTGTTTATGGAATTTCTAATGGTTCTCGTAGGTTTATGTTTTGTCATTTTAGAATTACTTCTATTTTATCTGTAACTCCTCTATGACTAGTTCATTCATAAGTAGCTGACATTTAACCTGTTGAGTGTCATCACCCGTTGCAATTTGGATGGGCAATCTTAGATTAAGGCTAAGTTCACAACTCTAATGAAAATATTTCTATGATTCTATCCAAGTATCCTATATGAATGATTATTATTTTCAACTATTGTGAAACACTTTCACCAGTGACCATTTGTACGTTTTCTTTATTTTTAACACTCTTTTTGAAAATTGAAAAACAGAGGTTATAGCACACCATCTGCATAACTATATCGTGTTGCTAAAGTCAAACGATGACGTTAACAGGGTTGCTTTTTACGCAGATCTCCAAAATATGCTTGGGTTATCATAGAGTATAAAGCTGAATTTAAATAGGTATATAAATGCGACACTAGCGCCAATGACATATTGTCGAACTAAAAAAAATCTGGTGATAAAAAAGGATCAAAATGACCTTTATAAAAACTTTTGATATGTGATTCCCAATAGCCTGAATAGTATGTCAAAATGAAACCTTGTGACCTCCAGAATTGGAGGTGAGAGTGCTATATGACGTAACAACGAATGTTGAGTTTCTGATTTTGAGATGACAACGTACGTACATACATACATACATACATAGACATGCATACATACACACATATACAAACATAAACACTTTTTTATATTTCTGTGTCTATAGTATCTAAAAAAGTGTCTAGTGACAGGCAATGGAACTCTCATTTTCCAAGACTACATGTATCGACCGCTGATACATAAACTCGCAGTAATGAATCATTAAACTTATATCACACAATTCGTAGGAACTGCCGTTCACAAACAGTGTTGCCATATCCTCACCTCTCTACATATTTATGCCTACAAATTAAGCTACGTTGCATGTGTTGACTGGATACTGTTTGCTCTTAATGGAAGTAGATAATCATACCACCAACTTTTAACCTTTTCTGAATAAGATTTCAAATCACCAAAACATAACAGAAACTGAGCACCTAACACTAAACCTTGTGGCACCAGATTTAATTGGTCTACTGTCTGAGAAATCCATTATTCTCACCATTTTACTCTGTTCTGGAAGATATAATGTGAACCAATTATATGTAACACCTCGTTCGTATCCACATCTTTGTTGTTTTGAAACATGATTTCATGATAAACACAATCAAGAGCCTTAGTGAGATCTTAAAATTGAGGTTGCCACATTACGTGCATTCATTTCTGAATAAATTTCATATAGAAAAGGGAAAATTGAATCATTTCTATCTTTCTGGGCCTGAAACCCAAACTGACTGTCGCATATAATATTTCATATTTAAGAGTTCATTTGAACATTTTATAACTAATTTCTCAGTATTTTTGCTCCAGTTGGCATTAAAAAAAAGGAAAAGCATAAATCACCACCTTTTATCTACAGGTATAACCATGGAAGTCTTTGAATGAGAAGAAAACGAGCCAGTCTTGAATGAAGTATTAATGAGAACAACCAACATATTTAGCGTGTTAACTGGTAAATTGAGGAGAAAATTGACGAAAATTTTTCACAACAAGCATTGATTCATGTAGATGTGCATTATACCAATTTTTATATTTTCCAAGTGTATCAATAGATTATATGGGGTAATAATTTTGTTGCAAAGTCATTGAAGTATTTGAATATTTGTGCGATACATATGTGGAAAGGACTAACATAGAGAAATCGAGAGGATTGAGATCCGGGGATCGAGAGGGCCAGTTCTGTGGTCCTCCTCGACCTATCCACTGATTTGCATATGTTTCAGTTAAATGCTGACGTGGTACTTGACTTAAATGGGCGGGAGCCCCATCATGCATAAAAAACATATCCCTTCTGACGCCCAAAGAAACTTCCTCCAGCAGTACTGGATGCACTTCTCTTAAGAATTGAACGTATGCCTCACCATTTAATCGAGGAGGTAGAAAACGAGGCCCAATTAAATCATTCCCAATAACTCCGAGCCACTCGTTAACCCTCCGTTAGTGTACCCAAATAAATTATCTCGATTAGTGTATGGCATACCCCCAACAAAAGTCATTTCAGAATTACTGAGATAACGAAATTTGGTCATTTTGATAACTAGATATGTTTTTCTGCATATTTATCAGTGAAATGAAGCAAAAACAGCAGTTGAATATTTCTCTTTCAAATTAAAAAATCACCAATTGAAAAATATATGTTTATTATATCCTGGAAAAACACAGTTTAATAATATTTATCATAAAATATGGAGATCATGACATGGCATATACAACTGAAAGAAATACTCTAAAAAACTGTTACACAAACAAAATGTTACAAAACTGGGAGTGATAACTTCCCATATAAAAGAGTTACGGGCTCTCCAAATTGGCACAATTTTCGCATGTCATCATTGCGTGCTCCATACAAATTGAACTTTGACATCGCTTACATACATAAAACGTCTAACTGTCTTTGCTTCTTGGACAAATATGCTTGGGCATCGTGGCTTCGGTCTAGGTTCATGACTTTCCACTTCTTGGTTTTCCCGTAGTCGTCGGCGTTCACAGAGGTTTTGTCTTCGTTGATTCCGAAATTCGGATATCAGTTGCAGACCGAGTTCTTTCAAAAATGTCGCCTCTACAAATTGTTTTTGTATTTGCATATTTGCTTTAAATATACCTTGAGCATTTACTCCAGCAGAATTCATGAACGAAAAAAATAGTGTCAAAGGCCAACGGCGACTGTTTCTCGACTTACTGTAATTAGCAGATAACTCATCCAATGTGTCTACACCGCCCTTGGTGGAATTATAGAAGCTGATAATTTCAGGTAGTTTTTTGTCACCAGAATTGTCAATTATAGCATCGTCAGGATATAATGTAGAGAAAATTATGACATTCTTTCATCTTCACCTTCAGAATTACTATCAATAAATGACTCATCAGAACTGGCGCCAAACTCTTCCCATAAATGTTGGAGTCTTTTTTGTTCTTCTTCATAAGACATTTCACAATTTTAGTGAAACTTCTGAAATGTTCATGAAAATAATCAACAATATTTTGCAGAATATTATTTCATTTGAGAAATTCATCTCCAAATTTGAT